CGAGTAATAAAGATACACGCATACACACGAGTAATAAAGATGCACGCATACACACGAGTAATAAAGATACACGCATACACACGAGTAATAAAGATACACGCATACACACGAGTAATAAAGATACACGCATACACACGAGTAATAAAGATACACGCATACACACGAGTAATAAAGATGCATGCATACATATGTGTAATAAAAATGCATGCATACATGCGTGTAATAAAGATGCACGCATACACACAAGTAATAAAGATGCACACATACACACAAGTAGTAAAGACACTACATCAGAATTGTTTTCATCAGTGTTTCGAACCCCATATAAGTGGCATGTGGTACATGGTGTGGTCAGCTTCGAAACCCTCGCGGACACACACTCGAAGCTGCCTTGTACTGAATCAAACCGTTGGTCCATCGAAGACTGTATTGTCTGCTCAGACTGACGGTGCCACACCATGCTGGGCAGGGCAGGGGAAAGCTTTGCTTGTGGAATGGGCGTGGCGCCTGGCTTGACCTCCGGGCAGATCAGCTCAGACTCTCGTCTCCCAGCTTGGCCTCCTCCTCACCTGTGAAGAAGGGCACGACGGGGCCAAGGAGGAGCCCTTTGCTGGCTGGGGCTGTGGAGAGGAGGGGGGCAGGTGGGCAGTGAGCCGAGAGAGAGGGGACCGGGGCTTGGTCCCTTGCCAGAAGTGTCCCCCAGTGGCCAGTCTTGGAGGGGGGGGAGGACATTAGACTCGCTGCTGGGTGGGAGGTGGATCATGGCCTAAACACTGAGCCCTTTTCTCTTATGACTGCGGGAGGGAAAACAGGCCCTGATGTGGATAGCCCAGCCTGGCCCGGTCTGGTCACGTCTTGGAAGCTAACCGGGGGGGGTGGGGGTTGGCCCTGGTTAATCCCTGGATGGGACGCAGTGTTCCCTCTAAGCTGAGTCAGTGTGAGCCACCTCACAGTTTTTCAGCCTCCGGCTCACACATTTTTGTCTCAGCTCAGGAAGGAGGGCTCCAGAGCAAACTAAACTGCTCGCTCACAACTTGAATGCCAGTAGCTCACAAAGTAGACTCTTTGCTCACAAGACTCCACAGCTCCGAGGGAGCCTTGGGTGGGAGACCACTCAGGAATACAGACTTCACTACGCAGAGGCAGGCAAGGGCAAACCGCCTCTGTTTGTCTCTTGCCTTGACCTGGATGGCCCAGGGTAGCCCGATCCCATCAGAGCTCAGCAGCTAAATCGGGTCGGCCCTGATGAATACTTGGATGGGAGACCACCAGGGAGTTCCAGGGTTGCTACACAGTGGCAGGCGATGGCAAGCCACCTCTGAACGTCTCGCTTCTTGACCTAAGCAGGATCAGCCTGCCTAGTTCTTGGATGGGAGTCTCGTGAGCAAACATTCTACTTTGTGAGCTCCTGGCATTAAAGTTGTGAGCGAGCGATTTGGCTACTGCATCAATTAGCTTGCTCTTCTGGAGCCCTCCTTCCTGAACGAAGACAAAAATCCGTGAGCCGGAGGCTAAAAATCTATGAGCTAGCTCACACTCACTCATTTTAGCTCACACTCACTCACTCCTGGATAGGAGACCAGGGTGGCTATGCAGGGGCAGGCAATTTTTTCATTTATTCATTTACTAGCAGTAAAGCCCGTTGTGAAAGCAATACAACGGGATCTAGAAAGAGGCTCTGGGGCAGTGCTCTGGCTTTGGGCAAACAGTGTCAATTTGCTGTGGTGACCTTAGCAGGGTATAATGACAGAGTCCACTGTTTTCTCCAGAGGAACTGATCTCTGCTACCTGAAGAGCAGTTGTAATTGTGAGTAATCTGTAGCCCTCACCTGGAGATTGGCAACAATTGTTACCCAGGACAAAATGGCTGGTTTGGAGGGTGGAGTCTATGGCATTCTACCTGTCTGAGGTCCCACCCCTCTGCAAACCCCACCCTCTCCAGGCTCCACCCCTCAAATCCCCAGGAATTTGTCAGGATGTAGTTGGCAACCCCATCTCCTTCCCAGCTAGCCATCAACCTACCATTATCTGCCCCTTTGACTTCAGCTGACTTCTGCCCTCCCTTCTGCAGAGCAGTTGTAATACTGAGTGCTCTCCAGCCCTCACCTGGAGATTGGCAACAATGGTTCCCTATGTGGGACTGACTGGTTTGGAGGGTGGAGTCTATGGCAGTGTACCTGTCTGAGGTCCCACCCCTCCTCAAACCTCACCCTCTTCAGGCTCCATCCCTCAAGTCTCCAGGAATTTCCCATCTGGAGTTGGCAACCCTATCAGGATTGGCCCCAATGTGTTTTCTCCCAAAGGCCAAAGTAGGTGACAGGACCAAGCTTAGTTGCCTACCAACAGGCACTGAGGGGAATGTAGGGTTGCCAGCTCTAAGGAGGGAAATACCTGGAGGTTTTGGGGGTGGATTCTGTAGAGGGCCGGGCAACGGAGGCATCGGCCTTCCGTCCCCCACCTCGCCCCCCCAATCTCGGCCCGGGCGACCGTGGCTCCCGCCATCGGCTGGCCAACTCCAGACCCCCCCGCAGCCACTCCAGCCAGGCGA